ATGCGGAAGAATGGAAGAAAAGAAGGGGGAGATGAGAGCAAGAATGGGAGGTGGGGGGGTGAGGGCGCTCTAAAGACATATTTATATATGTTAAAGAAAATGCTAATACGTCTCGTGAAGAATGGAGAGGATTTCAGAGACTCTCCTTAATTCTGCTTTTGTTGCGCTCGCGTGCAGACGGGCGCGATTGACACGGTGATCACGTGACAGAAGTTTTTTCTTTTTTTTGAGTCTTCAAATCAGATATTTTCTTGTCAGGGTAGATGTGTGTGTTGTGGTGTTAGTGTTATGCATGGTTAAAAACTACAAATGGCCACCTGTGATGACATCATAAAAGAGCGCCAGGCTCAGGTAGTCCAGGTGACGCTGATTGCTATGTTGATGCCATGCTGGGAGTTTGGTGATCCTGAATAAACTAATCACGATGATACAGTTTGACTCAGCGCACTCTTTCAACAAGACGACGTGTGTGTGTGTGTTTGTGTGTGTGTGTGTGTGGATGCAAGAGTCTGTCCAACAACTGTTTTAAAAGGGGAGGAAAATTGTCTGTGTAGTGCGCGCGCGTGTGCACGTGCAGCGATTTTTTTTTTTTTTTTAATCCGCCAGGCGAGACGCGACATACAGCAGCGTTATTTGCTTTTGATTGCTCTGTACCTCTGGGTGTGAGAAAACGCTGAGCGGTGTTGGAATACGCGGGAATCCGGTGTACACTTTGAGCATGTTGTTGCTGTGGGCTCAGAAAAAAAAAGCCTCTCTGTCTTCATCTGAAAGAGCTCTTCACCATGTCGCCTGAATGAAAGATTGTTTTTTTTTTTTTTTTTTTTGCACCGAGGTTAATGTTGCAGCTGCAAAGCAAATTACTACCTTATCCTATGAATATCATTGCTGTTTTTGTTGCCCTCGAAGAAGTTTTTTTTTATTATTATTCTTCGCTACTGTTAATCTGCATTTAATTAGTTTTTGGAGGAGAAAAATTTGTGCTTTTCAAAACAAATGAAAATAAAATAAAGTAAAATACCATAGCCCTTATGAAGGTAATCAATAACATATCAAACCATCCTGACCAGCAGCAATGTTTAAGATCCATTTAAAGGCTTTAACACCACTGATCACATCTTGCAGATATTGTTTTCCAAGCAAATGGTTTGATTGGCTTTATAAATCAAACATGGCCCATTGATGGCTATCATTACTTTTATTGTATTTTATTTTGTTAATAGATCTCTTAATAGAGTTACTTATTACGGCACAACATTCCTGTTACGCCAATGAATACAATAAAATAAAGGAGTTCCACAGGGTTCCATACTCGGCCCTATATTTTTGCACTACAAAACTCAACTTTTGTCTTCCATGCTCATCACTCTGCAGTTCACTGCTCCACACCCACAACTGCAAAAAACTAAAAATAAAAAATGTAAGCATCTCTAATATGCCTTTGGCAGAGTACAAGAACAGCTCTGCCGCCCACATCTTGTTTTAAGTTCAGAGAAAAAAGAGGACATTTTATGAGTTTCACTTATTCATAAAAATCAAGGTTAGTGCTGCTGAGGCAATTTTCAAGATGAACCCAGCCAGCATGCCTAGGTGGGCCCCATGTGGGGACAAGGAGGGCAGACTATATGGGTCCCATATGGGTTTGTCCGCGGGTTCCACGATGGCCCCACATGGGTTTGCCCATGTAGGGGCCAATTTGCTTTACAAATTGTATGTCCTCTCAGTTGTCATGCAAAGTGCCCTCTACACGAACCTCCGCTATTAATGGTTCGATATTTTCTGTGGAACGTAACACCGTTGAATCGTTGAATTTTCACCTATTCATTTTTTTTTTTCTTAGATTACATCTAAAGTATTTTAAAGGAAATATAGCACGGGAAATTGAAACAGCTAGCTAAAATGCTACTCGACACGCTGTTGGCTGGTGTTTTCAAAGCAGCCAATCCAGGAGCGGCATTTATTTTCCTGATTGGCTGAACCCCCTGACCTTGGATGTTAGCTTCTGTGGAAGAGCTTAAACGGTTTCCGCTGCGCATATTAATGCATATTAAGGTATATTTAGTGTTTGAACCATTAAAAAAGGCAGTTATGGAGGGGTCTCAAGTATTTGTAGATTACAGTAACTCACATGTGGTTGAGTTCACTGTTTTACTGAAAGGCAGGCATGCTGGATTTTAAGATATGGAATAAGATACATTTTTGACTTTAAACTTAGAAGTTTTCCTGTTAAATATGGGGGAGGGGGGTCCAACAAATGATGCAATGGCAATTAATATTTCTTCATTTCACCAACCAGTTGCAGTACACACACATGCTACACAATCTGATATCCTGTTCTGGTACGAGCTCTGAACAGAAAATGAGTGAATAAGTAGGCAAATTGCAAAGAAAGAAGAAAAAAACGTTGAAAATCCTTCAAAAAGCCCCAAGACCTCAAGTCTGGCTCATTTAAAGCATAAAGTCATGAGGTGATCTCATTCTTCTGGGGTAATTGGAAAGTGATGTCATTAATCAATCAAAGTCTCATGTCTGCTTCTTTGGGACAGGCCCAACTAAGCTGGGCTTGTTCATTCAGGTGCCTTCTATTTGACTTTCAGTGGCAGATGGGTTCTTTATAGAACATGCCAACCTGTATTAGCTTCCACTGCAAGGCAAGTGTTGCCCCTGGAAAAAGGGCTGGGGGAGGGGGTGCAGCATGAGGAGGGGTCGGGAAAGAGCAAGCGAGCGAGCCCTATAGGAAGAATGAGAAAATCTCTTAAAGAGCCGTGACGGGGCCCCGGTCTGTCTCTAAATGTATTTTAATGGGGGGGACCCTGGTGTCCGGGGCAATTCATCTCCCATCTCCGAGTAATGAAAGGAGTCATAGCCGGGGACTGTTTCTGGATCTGGAGAGGACGAGGGAGGGGTGGAAGGGCATGGTGCTACAAAGGCTACATGTGGCTTTGCTTCATTATGCCACAGTTAGGCTGAGAGGGAGGTAGGGGGGCTTGGAGGGGCTGCAAGGGGTTCAGAAAGGACGAGGGCCCGCGCAGACAGATTCAGAGGGGCCACAATGCAGGCGAGGACGGCTGCAAAGGGAGACCCCGTCATGCCATTATCCTGCCGCTGCTAACGAGGGCTTCATAGGCCTTTGATATAATCTCACCATTGAAATCCTGATAAAACCCCCAACCCCCCCCCCCCACGCTCTGCGTTTACAGCTAAATCCCATTTGTAACGGGTAAAAGCTGGGAGTATTTGTCCGTCTTCACCTGCGCCTCTCTGTTCCAGCAGCCGAGGCCACTGGGAGCCGCGCGTTAAACGGCGTCGTTACATAGGCTTTAATTTAAAGAAAGAAAAGAAATGGCCTCTATGTCTCCCTCTTTTCTGCACAAGACGTCTCGTGAGCCGATCTGAGCTAGGACCGAATTAGACTAAAATCAATGTTGAAGTGCATATAGTCCCCGTGTAGCTGGAGATATGATCTGAAAGACAAACAATTACAAGATTAGAGCACAGCAGGGGCGATGAGTGAACGGGAGGAAGAGGGAATTTATTAGAATTTATTGGAATTTATTAAATTATGCCATTAGCACCACATTCTTCTGAGCATATGCGGAAATTAATTTCTTAGAAGTGTCTTATCGACACAGCTTTGTGAGGTTAAAGTAAAATAATGGAGATTTTTTTTTCACCAATAAAAATATGAAAGATGGACCTCATTCAACCCCATTTACTATGTTACCCCTAAACAAACTCCAGTGTGACAAACGTCTTATAAAAACCAACCCTGTAAAGTTAGAAGTGCGCTTCAGAATATGATTTATTGTTAGAGATTATTATTAGAGAACATCACGATGGGTAAAGAACAGAGCAGGTCACTGGGAAAGTTGTGGAGAAGTTTGTATCCCAAACTGTGAGGATAACTGAGGTCTGTTCAATCAGAATACACACACAGACCATCCAACTAAAAGTAACACAGCAGAGCAGATCCTCAAAGTACGCCAGACCCTTTGTGAAACATGATGGTGGCAGCACTGTGCCATGGGGATGCAGGGAAAAGGTGGCTGTTTTGACTTAATGAGACGGTTGGGAATCCTGGAAGGAAACCCGTTAAAAGACCGCAGATGACTTTCCAACAAGTGCAGGAAGTCTGGTAAACTGATGTTCTATCCGGTCTGACTGAACTCGGGCTGCTGAGCAAAGAAAAACGTGCAAAAATTGTTCGCCTGTCATGTCCAAAGCTACTGAGACGCGCCCCTAAAGACTTCCAGCGGCACGCCACACTTTTCAGATTCATCTGCGTTTAAAAACTCCATATTATTTTACTTCTGAGTTTGCAATGACGCAAAAATCCCCAAAAACAGTACCGTTGCAGGTGGTGTGTCATAATGTAAGAAACTGTGGAACAAAACGGGTCAAGGGTCCGAATACGCTTCCAAAGCACTGTGGCCATTTCCATTATTCAGCATATTTGTCCGGCCGGAGGGATGAGGGCGCTCCGAGGATGAGGTGAAAATGATAAATTTTGTCGTGCGTGCTTCGAGTTTAAGGTCTCCTCCTGCTTTAGAGGTGGAGAGGTCAGTGGCGGATCTCAGCCTTGTGTTTTCTCTTAGTGGGTTACACGGGACACGCGTGTGCGGGGATCTAAACGGTGTTTCGGTGTAAATCTCTTCGCACGCCTGAAAGCTCTTTTCAGAGGTAAAAGCAGTCCCAGTCAGACACTCCTATTCAAATGCTTTGTCCTCTAGCTCAGGGACACTGCGCATCTCCGTGCCTCCCCCTCCACCCATGTGTCGGTGCGCAGACTCATTTAACAGCCCCAGGAACATAAACAAGCAACGGAAACTATGGCTGTATTAAATCAAGCTCTGCATTTAGCCCACAAATTGGTAGCCAACTTGCTCCGGACAGCCCAGGAATCTCTAAACAGGGTTTAGAGGTCTCGCAGAAGACCCCCCCCCCTCCTCCTCCTCCTCCTTCCCTCCCTCTCTCTCTGTCTTCCCCATCTCAAAGCACGGATTGGTCACAGTGCGGCTCATTTGCATGCCTCGCCATATAAACCCTCCCGCAGACACTGCAGCCCGCTTGCGCTGACAGAGCAGCACACCTCCAGTAGTGAGTGAGTGAGTGAGGGAGCGGAGCGCATCCTGAGTGCGCATAATCAGACATATGGAATATTTATCACGGGCTTTGTTCTGACCAACAACCCAGGAGAGTGGACTGAAGGGAGAGGAGGACACTTTTTTATTATTATTATTATTATTATTATTATTATTAGACCAGGTGCGTTTTTGTTTGAACTCCTAAGTTAGACTCAGTGAGGACAGTTTTGCTGAATTTCAGAATATCAAGATGGGAGAAAGAGGGTGGAACGGGCTGCTGGTGTTTACGTGCGCCTCCGTCCTGGTCTTGGCTGCTTTTACGCAAGGAAAAACGATGAAATATCAGACGTTTGAGGAGGACGCGCCGGGGACAGTGATTGGAAACTTAGCCAAGGACGTTTACTCTACTTCGCCCTTATCGGGAGGCTCCAGGAACAGTTTCAGGATGATGAAACAGTTCAACTCCTCTTTCATCCGTCTCAGGGAGAGCGACGGGCAGCTGACGATAGGCGAGAGGGTGGACAGGGAGCGGATCTGCAAACACATCCTGCACTGTCTCATCGCCTTCGACGTGGTCAGCTTCTCCAAAGAGCAGTTCAAGCTCATCCACGTAGAGGTGGAGGTCAAGGACATCAACGACAACTCCCCCGAGTTCCCCCGAAAAGAGTCGAGTCTGGAGATCTCCGAGAACACGGCGGTCGGCACCCGCATCCCGCTGGACTTCGCCGTGGACGAGGACGTCGGGGTGAACTACATCCAGAGCTACCAGATCTCCGTCAACAGTCACTTTTCCATCGATGTGCTCAGCAGGGCCGACGGGGTTAAATATGCGGAGCTGGTGCTCATGAAGGAGCTGGACAGGGAGACGCAAGCCTCTTACGCGCTGGAGCTGGTCGCCATGGACGGCGGCAACCCGTCCCGCAGCGGGACGACGCGCATAAATGTCAAGGTGAAAGACTACAACGACAACAGCCCGGTGTTCGACAGGAGCAGCTTCTCCGTGGACCTGCCCGAGGACGCGCCGGTGGGCTCCCTGCTGCTGGACCTGAACGCCGAGGACCCGGACGAAGGGCTGAACGGTGAGGTGGTTTACGGGTTCGGAAACCAGGTGCCCTCCGAGATACGGCAACTCTTCAGGGTGGACAGGAAGACCGGGCGGCTCACTCTGGAGAGCCCAGTTGACTTTGAGAGCAAGAACACGTACGAGTTTGATGTCCAGGCCACCGACCTGGGTCCGAACCCGAGCCCGGCCATTTGTAAAATCGTAGTTCAGGTGCAGGACGTGAACGACAACGCGCCGGAGATCTCCATCACCCCGATGACCTCTATCACAGCGGGGATAGCGTACATCACAGAGGCTGCGGCCAGAGAGAGCTTCGTGGCTCTGGTCAGCACCTCGGACAGAGACTCTGGCGCAAACGGGCAGGTGCACTGCACGCTTTACGGACACGACCACTTCAGACTGCAGCAGGCGTACGAGGACAGCTTCATGATAGTGAGCACCAGCCCGCTGGACCGGGAGAAGATCCCCGAATACAACTTAACGGTGGTGGCGGAGGATCTGGGCTCCCCTCCTTTCAGGACCATCACACAGTACACCATCAGACTGACGGATGAGAACGACAACGCGCCGGTGTTCAGCAAGCCCGTGTACGAAGTGGCGGTGGTGGAGAACAATGCACCCGGCGCCTACATCACCACAGTGGTGGCGCGGGACATGGACATGGGGTCAAACGGGAAGGTCACTTACAAACTAGCGGACACCTATTTCATGGGCTCCCCGATCTCCACCTTCGTGTCTCTGGATCCCGCCAGCGGCTCTCTTTACGCCCTCAGGAGCTTCAATTACGAGGTGATGAAGCAGCTGGAGCTCCGAATTACAGCCAGCGACGGCGGCTCCCCGCCTCTGTCCGGCAGCGCCAGCGTCTACGTCCGGATCATCGACCAGAACGACAACGCGCCGCTCATCTTACAGCCGCCGCTCAACAACGGCTCGGCTGAGGTCCTTCTGCCCCGGGACGCGCCCACGGGCTACATCGTGACCCGAGTGGAGGCGCGGGACGCTGACGAGGGCATGAACTCGGAGCTGTCGTACGGGCTCGCCACCGGGGAGCCCTCCGTGTTCTCCGTCAACAAAGTCACGGGGGATATCTACCTGAACCAGGTGCTCAGCCACGACGTGGACGAGACCCTGAGCGTGACCGTGACGGTGAGCGATAACGGGAGGCCCGCGCTCACCTCCACCGCCACGCTCCACTTCCTCATCATCGCGGGCTCCCCGCCGAGCGACAGGACGGTGTACCAGGCGGGCGGCGGGGACGAGGCGCGCGCGCAGTGGGACCTGTCGGTGGTGATCATCGTCGTGCTCGCGGGAAGCTGCACGCTCCTGCTGCTCGCCATCATCCTCATCGCGACCACCTGCAACCGGCGCCGGCGGGACAAAAGCGGGGAGGACAGCGACTCCTACGGGGAGAAGGGCACGCTGGAGCGGGGCAGGAACCACGCGGGGGACAACCCGCTTCTGCCCCTCCACGGAGCTGCGGGGGGAGGAGTAGGAGCGGGTGCAGGAGGAGGAGGGGGAGCGGAGGTCTTTGACGGACACTCGTACAGCAGCCAGCCCGGTGCTTTCACTCCGGCTCACCCCGGGGGCAGCGACATGTGCTCGGCCTCTGAGGACGGCAGCGAGGTGCCCTGTGTGTATGACTCAGACAACAACAGCAAACTCCGAGGGAATAAACACGAGGTGAGATGCTCCTTTGGGACAGAGGGGTTGTGAGGAGGGGGGAGAAATGTGTTTACTAAGCAGACACTAACGTGCTTTCTTCTTCTCTCCTTCAGGGATACTCCACTCTGCCTGGCTATGGGAACGGTAAAGAGGCGGTGAGGCCCATCACCATCTGGAAGGGCAACTCTTACACCACCATCTCTGCCCGGGACCCCGCCTTCAGTGGAAAAGACAGTGGCAAGGGGGATAGTGACTTCAATGACAGTGACAGTGATGTCAGCGGAGACACTGGCCTGAAGAAGGATGGGGCCATGGTTCCTTCCATGGGGGGCCAAAACGGTAAGGAATGAAGACACCAAAACAATAGATTAAAGAGATGAGTTGTGCTAGTCCACATATCTAACCTAACCTTGTTCCTCTATTAGCTCTGTGGGCATGCACCAGTGAGTGTAAAGTCCTGGGCCACTCGGACCGATGCTGGAGCCCCACGGCCACCAGAGCCAACGCGGCCCCCTCTCCGGCCCCAACCCTCTCCTCCTTCAGCAGCCTGCCCAAGACGGCCTCGCTGCCCCGGGACCCCAACCGCAGGGACAACTACTACCAGGCCCACATCCCCAAAACGGTGGGGCTGCAGAGCGTCTATGAGAAGGTCCTACACAGCGAATACGACTACGTCCTGGTCACCCCGCCCAGACCAGTGAGGGTGCAGGAGATCAGCGAAGTCGCCATCCCCGTTTACACGCCGACTCCGACGCACTGCCCCAACAACGACGTCTAGGGCAGAGCGCCACAAAAAACTCTCACGCTCTCGATGAAATGCACAGACTTTCCAGAGTTTTAATTTATGATGCTTTGAAGCTGAGACAGATGTGGCTGTCTTGCTGAGTGAGCTCACAGAATCCAGTCCTGGCATACAGAGCCGGTCCAAGACTGAATGGGGCCCAGAGCAGAATCTGATTTGGGGTCCTCATCAGCTGGCATCATTCAAATATTTTATATCAATCATGTTCAAAAGTTAACGCATCATTCATATAACAGAAACGTTACCATGATTGTATAGCATAAACTGTAAAAACCATATAAATACTAAATGATTTCAAATAGGATGTATAATATGATCACAAGTTTTATTTTGCACAATAAACTGCAGATGTATCACTTGAACAAGAAAAAAAAATCTAAAATTTGACTTGTGTAACAGTTGTAGAGCTCTTTGCTGCCCCTTGTTCCCTCTGGAGGCCCTGAGCAGCTATTCAGTTTTCTTATGCCTTGGGTCGGCTCTTGGGTATGTCTGTCTCTGTGCCGAGAGCCGCCTCTGAGGTCCAGTCAATCACTTTGGGGCATTTGTTGGACATGAAGTGTATCATATGCAAGACTTGTACATGGAGAGATTTTTATTTTTATATATATATATTAAAAAAAAAGCAAAAAAAAAAAGAATGTAGATATATATGTAAATACAGATCTTTAAGCATGCCTCTTATTTAAAACACCCTCAGAAAATGTTCCATTTGAGGGGCTGGTGACCCAAAACGTATCAAGTTGATAACCATGTAATGAAATATTTGACTGCAATAATTCAATGTACAGAATTTTTTTTTTAAATCGTCACATTATGAAAAGAAATAAACTTTGAGATACTCTTGTGAACCCGCGCATTGGAGTTTGTTCCAGAAGACGACGGAGTGTCAGTCAGTCAGACCAGTCAGTCAGTAGCGGGAGCCAACAGGCGTCGCTGTTATTGCAGCATGACTGAGCGTCCTTGCAGCCCGCCAAGGAAGGTCACTTAAGTTTTTTTTTTTTTTCCCCCTCTGTGAATACATGATTTTGCTGGTGAGATGCCAAAAACAGACTGAGGCGCTTTTCAGCAACCCCCCCCCCCCCCCCCCACCTCCTCTGGCTCCCACCATTTCACACACAAGTCAGCCAAAACCTGCCTTAGTGATCCTGCTCTTCATCACGGACTTTCTTGCATTTACAGTCGACACCAGAAGTTTACATACACCGAACAAAAACATGCACCTTTGTTTTCTCACCATCTGAAGTTAAATCAGACCAAACGTCTCATGTTTTAGGTCAGTTTTATGCCCAGAATCACAATAATAATAGAGTATATTGGAGATTTATGTATCGGTGTCTTCAAAATTAGATGTTTCCATAAATTTCCTCATTAGAGCTAAAAAAATTTTTAAATTCAACGTTTGACCTGCATAATTCGGGTCAAACCTTTTGGGTTTCCTTCCACAAGCTTCTCAGTAGTTTTTTTTTTTGGAGTTCAGAAACGGTGTAACCGAGTCAAGTTTGTAAGGCGACTTTGTCACATTTGCCGTTTCATATCTAATATCTCTATTGGACTGAGATCAGGGCTTTTGGCAACGGCCACACCAATAAACATTGACTTTGTTGTCCGTAAGCCACTTTGCAACTATTTTGACTGTATGCTAAGGGTCACTGTCCATTTGTGAGACCCATTTGGACCTAATGGGTCCAACTTTCTGGATGATGTTGGACCCAAATCATCAACTTCCTGGATGATGTTGCCTTAATATTTCCACATAATATTCTTTAATAATGATGTCATCTATTTTAGCCAACACAATACGATGCTTGCCACCCCCATACTAAAACAGATGGGATGCTGTTCCCATTTATCTCCAAATGTAGCAACAGACCAAACAGTTCCACTTTAGTTTTGTCAGACTATAGGTCTCCAAACATGAACGTCTTTGGATCTTCAAACTGCAACCTGATTATTGTGTTACTTTTGGAGTAATAATTTCCTCCTTACTGAGTGGCATTCAAGCCTAACTGGACATGTTTCAGTGTGAATGATGACGCCGTCTTACCAGCTTCGGCTAGCATCTTCTCCAGGTCTTTGGTTTTTGTTCAGGGTTCAGTTTTGCTAATTTTGGGCCAAATCACTTTGATCTGGCCCAGATCAATGCGTTTACACTTGCATATGACCAGATGAACGCGACATTGTGAGGAGGGGTAGAATAGTTTCACCATATTTAGGGTAGAAATACTTTTCTAAAACACTGTGAGCTTCCAGATCTTCTCATTACTTCAACAGAATCCCATTTTTTATTTATTTATTTATCTTGGTCCACATGCCAAACGCACACATAATCCCATCATTATCATTCATGGATTCAGGGCATGTTTTATTAACAGCAAACGCTGCGGACGCAGGAGGCGGTGCAGGAATGCGGCTCAGCGAGAGAGAGAGAGAGAGAGAGAGAGAGAGAGACAGAGAGAGACAGAGACAGAGAGAGTTAGAGATTGAGAGAGAGAGAGAGAGAGAGAGAGAGAGAGAGAGAGAGAGAGAGACAGAGAGAGAGAGACAGAGAGAGAGACAGAGAGAGAGGACAGTTTTGGCTCGTCGCCATGTCCATCAAGGAGGAGGAGGAGGGAAAAAAAAACTGCGACATTCCGCAGGAGTAACCTTTGACCTGAAACAGTAACTACTCTGGGGTAGAGCTGTGCAAAGTTATGATAACGGAGAAAGAAAGAAAGAAAGAAAGAAAGAAAGAAAGAAAGAAAGAAAGAAAGAAAGAAAGAAAGAAAGAAAAAAAGAAAGAAAGAAAGAAAGAAAACACCCCTCCTCCGCTATCATCACGATTACTGAACAGGTCCAAGTCGGCAGCGCTGAGGTTGTCATAAGACCTAATGATATGAAATCCTGCGGATCAGACTCATGTAAGTTGCATGAGCAAAAGCCTATGGAAGCTTCAAAGGGGAAAAATTGGTTAATGATTTTTCTGGAAGAAAGCATAAAAAAACCCCTCTGAGTTACATTAATGTCTTCTCTGGCTGCTAATCAGCTTGAAGTTACAACCTTAACTTTACCTTTTTTTATTAAAAGTTCTAAGAGCTGAAAATGCTCAGCTTGGGCTAAGGAGTAAAGTTTGGCCGAGAAGTGCCCTCCTCCTATTCTAAGAGACAGAGAGAGAGAGAGAGAGACCGGGGGAGAGGATGGGGGGGATTGAGTGAACTGGGGCTTAAAAAGGTATTTGTCTGTTTGGCTCCAGTCATGGCCGGGAGCTCAGAGAAAATACCCATCGCGACAGCGGAACCAGAGGACCAGCATCACTTCATGCCTCCGGTGAGTTGCTTGGTGCAAGACGAAGCTGTGGCACCCTGCTGTGCATCCCCCTAAGGGTGACCAGCTCAGTCAAACCACAAAAGTCTCATGTGTCGTTTTGTTGTTTGTTGCTCGTGCCGAACCCGTCCAGGCCTACTCTGCCGTGGCGGTGAAACCGGCCTCCACCGGACGCCTGCTGAAGGCCGGGATCGCCGTGCTGGTGACCGGAGCCGTTCTGCTGCTGCTGGGAGCCGCAGGCGCTTTCTACTTCTGGAACAACAACGAGAAACACGTAAGAGTGACGTTTCACACCTGCGGCTCTGTGTGCGGGAGAAACTCTCAGCCCGCCTGAGACGTAACGTGGGTCGATGAGAAAGACGATAGAGAAGATAGTGCAGTCTGATGAGAGGTTCTGGTTTATTATTGTATGCATATTGAAATGTGTTCGTTAGCATTAAAGGGCACAGACTCTTTTTCTTATGCTTCGTGTCTTTGTTTACAGGGTTGTATCCAGTGGTTCTTTGGTTGCTGCAGTTCCATTAAAGCACAGATTTAAAAAAGGGAGGGATGTGACTAATCAGTTTGTACCAGTAGAGCTCAAATACCCCCAAACTCCTCTCTCCTTTTCCATATCCACTTAGAAAAATAAAATAAAAACGACTCTCTTTGGAGAAAATGGCAGTCTAGAAAGACGTCTGTTGAATATGTTCATAATGGAGGAGGAAAAAAAAAAAAAGCTTATTAGTCATCGGTGTTAGGATGTCCAACTTGTTTGAATTAAAGTCCCAGCAGATCAAAACAGATGGAGGAGCTCAATTTTTTATTTTATTTTTTTTTAAATTGTTGGTATTTAGGCAAACCGAGAAGTGTAAATCATCCGCCTCCTCTCTGTGGTACAGTGTGAGGCAAATGAATGGAGCCATTGTGCTGTGGGATCCTGAACTGGTGCAACGAGGGGGAGAGGAGTGGGGCGAGGGGCCCCTCTCTCTCTCTCTCTCTCTGGTCCCGCCGAAGCTCCGGGGGCAAGAGGTGGAAAACACGAGCGGCAAAACGCAGTCGGCGGCGAGCGCGCTTTCTGCTCCTGAGAGACTGGAAGGGTCTGTGGCGAGGAAATGAGACGAAACGAGATAGACGGACGGCCAGACTAAACCGAGTGCGGAATGCGTGTCTCAGAAAGAGGATGTGAGGAAAGTAATGTGGGACTTTTGTGGAAAAGTGTCAGGTTTAACTCAGAGAAGGGCAGAGGTGAATGTGAGAGAACAAAAAGACACTGTTGACCGTCCGACCTTGCGAGGCAGACTGAGGAGTTGGGTTGGTATTTCGGGTTCTTCTTTAAACATTTGCGTACAGATCCCATTCGTGTCTAGTCCATTTTGGCGTTCCACTGGGCTCTGCTTTAGGGCAGTCGCTGTTTCTGCTCCCTCTTGGTTTGATACTGATATCTTTTAAGGATATTTCCAATCACTCGCTGTGTTTCCATTACATTAGTGTGCAAACCTTTGTTAATATTCCACTAATATAAAAAAAAACAACACCACAATTTAGTAATTGCGATGTTTCCATTAAATAAGAAACCCAATTGAAATCACAGTTTGCCTCAAGATAAGTTATTAAATAAATCCCATGCCCTCATCCTCGTACCACTTCCTGTCCTTCTTGGCTACATCCATGTACAGAAAATGTTCCTGTCCCTTTAATTTCGGCGTTCCACAGGACTCTGCTTTAGGCCTTTTCCTGCTCTACCTGCTCCCTCTCGGTCCGGTCACTTTTTAAGAATATTTCCCATCACTAGACAAGTTGTTGTTACAAAAGAGCACAAAACTATGTTGGCATTCTGCTGATGTCAAGAAAACAAAATTTCGCCATTGTGGTGTTTCCATTATATAAGAAACGCAATTAACATTACCCATGAATACATTTAATCGCACTATAAGTCATTAAAAAAAGACAAAAATTGCAGTTTGCAAGTTTGTTCCTGCTGGGCCCCTGACTGGTCTTCATGTAACTCCACTTCTAATGTATCTTCATCGACTCCCTGCTGATTCTCTGGTGCATTTCAAGACATTGGTTCTGAACTGGGGAGCTCTACATGGACACACACTGATCTACACCACAAACTTTTGCATCCCTGCACCTCCATCAGGGCCTTGAGGTCCTGTGAAGTCTTGCCGATTGTCCCCCATTCAAGCCTAAATACTAAAGCAGACAGAGGTTCCTCTCCTGTGGCTCCAACTCCCTTCCTCCGACTCCAGTATCATTTGTTTTGTGTATTTGTTATTTTGTTTGTTGAAGGACTTTTAAAAAAAAAAATCTTGAACAGCATATCAGTGTGGGGTGGGTTCACTCTCAGGACCCTCATATCTTACCTGCCGGTCTGAAACTATGCATGTCGGCCACAGAGCCTCCAAACATCCCCACACCTTCTGGCCTTTCCCACTTTTTACGATACAACGGCACAGTTCAGTATGAATTTGTAAACATTTTATGCAGTAGATCAACTGAAAAATGTGCGTTACAGTGAGGGAAAGAAGATTTTCAAATATGTTATACCAAAATGAATTGAAGCATGGCCGACTGAAGGTTTACTGACTTCGCACATCTAGAAACTGAATATTTATATGACAGCAACGTAGACTAGAAGTAACATAACAACATAATGAAGGGCTTGAGAACCGGTTCTCTGGGTATATACTTGATTTTAGAATTAATGGTAATTAAAAAAAAAAAAGGAAATTTTTGTGAATATTTATAAAACACTTCGGATCGGCATAATGAAGCTTCCAGGGATGTGGGTGTCAGCTCAGCTCCACGGTTGCTGTAGCAACGGGAGGAAACTTTTGCTCCTAGAGTCTAAGCAGCATTTCTCTGACGAAGAAATGAACCTGTAATAACTGGCTGTCTAATGAACTGAGACACGTATAGGGAACAGTCACTGTGTGTGTGTGTGTGTGTGTGTGTGTGTGTGTGTATGTGTGTGTGTGTGTGTGTGTGTGTGTGTAGGTGTGTGTGTAGGTGTGTGTGTGTATGTGTGTGTGTGTGTGACCTTGCACTACCATGGTGCAACATCTGTGCTAATTATCCGTTTAAGACACAAAGTACGTAGTGACAGATCTGGTGAAAAAGAGACTGATTGTATGATAAATAAAGAAATGAGTTTCTTTGTTCTTAAGAAATGAATGGTGCTATTTCCAGGGTTTCACCTGGTGGATCTGCCACTCATCATAAGAAGAACTTCTCAGTCCAATGAACGTTTGTAAATGGCATAATGAGAAGCACTGATGTGATGCATGTAGAAGGCGGAGTGTCGGAAAGAGTAGCAGCGTCTTAAAGAGACAGAAGCCCAATTTCAAGGGGTCAAATTGAAAAGTCAGATTTCTTCTAAGATACAGCATTTTTAGACCTGGAGGTTACATACATACTTATTTCATAGTGCTATGAACTGTGCAGATGGAAAATACATAATAGTGCCCCTTTAAGATACAATGAATGCAAGAACATAGCATTCACAGATACTGACCAAAACTGTTGAAATTACAAAATCTTACCAAGAATTTTTTTGGTCTAGTTTTATTGTGAAAATATCTTAGTAAACTTGAAATAAGACTAAACAAACTTACTAGTAACATTTTAGCAAGACATAGCAGCTTGTTTGAGTAAATAATTCCTTAATATTGATGAAAAACAACTTGATCCATAGGCAGATAAATTAACTTATAACAAAGAGAAAATGTCAAGTTAGAAGACAAATAATCTGCAAAATGGAAAAAAGTTTTTTTCTTAGCAATATTAAGGAATTACTTACTTAAAACAAGTATCTATATCTCATTAAAAAGTCACTAGAAATCAACTTTTGTCAAGCTCACTAAGATATTTGCACTAGAAACTAGACCAAAAATACTTTGTAAGATTTTGTGTTTTTGCAGAGCAATAATCTTCTATTACATGGACTTTGTTCTTGAGATTCTCCAAAGTCATAGTTTATCATTCTGATTACGAGAAACGGTTTAAATTATGCATTAATTTGTGCTGCTCGGTCACATTAAATCCTCAAAAAAAAAAAAAAAAATTAAATAAAACCTCACCGAAGTTTGTGGTAACGTAACAAAACATGACAAAGTGTGTGGAGCGTGTTCTTTGTGGCTCATCGTTTGCGTGTTTGTGTGTGTGTGTGTGTGTGTGTGTGTGTGGGTGTGTGTGTGTGTGTGTCCACAGGTCTACAATGTCCACTACACTATGAGCATCAACGGCAAGGTGGAGAAGGGCTCCATGGAGATCGACCCCGCCAACAACATGGAGACGTTCAGCACGGGCAGCGGCACCGACGAGGCTCTGGAGGTCCACGACTTCGAGATAGTGAGTTTCATGCGAAGCGATCGGAGAACATCGCGGCGCCGTTGGCCGCGTCGGAGGAATCAGTGAGATTGGTCGGAACAACGGCGGCTCCTCTCGGGGGTCGGGGGAAGATTGGCTCATTAACCCGGTGGAGGAATGAAGAACAAGTAGACATCGGATCCCCTCGGGAAAAAATCAGTGTCGAGATGCGTCGGCCCTCTGATTTCCGGCACATTCAGACTGGTGGTTTTTGACCTTTAATTAAAGAGCCCCAATCAGGCTAATCAGAGAAGTGCGGCGGCGGTTGACGGCGCTGAATATTAAAATTTTGACCTTTAATCACAGTCCCTTTGATCCTTTTTTTTTCATATATATTTGAAGTTGTGCACAAATGCATCATATCTGGAGTGTGACATTATTGGTGAGGTGAACAGATATAAACTCGCCCTTTCAAAAACTTTTTCAGGGAATTACAGGCATCCGGTTTTCGGGGGGAGACAAGTGCTTCATCAGGACCCAGGTTAAAGCTCAGCTCCCAGACGTGGAGCCTCTGATCAAGGACCCGATCACATTTGAACTGGTGAGATGAATTTCTTTGTGGGTTTTTTTTTTTTTTTTCATTTGCGTACTTGCTGCTCTTTATCCCTGCAATGAGCTAAAATCTGATGAACTGTGAATTTATTTTGCTTTGTCAAAAAACAGACGATAAATCATTTATAACTGATTGTTAACATTTTAGCTTGGATTTCCTCTGTTGCAAACATATCTGCTGGTTATACTGTGTAACCAACATGTTTCATCCGTTGTGAAGAGACGGAAACCCATCTGAAAAGAAGTATTTAGTCAGATGTGTGCCCAGCTTGTGCGTGATCGGCTTTGTCTTTGTACGAAATGCTTTTTCAGCCTTTGTTCCATTTATTCAAGAGACGGAAAATTATATCTGTAATTCCTCAGCCTAATTATGAATCGTGCTTTGGTTAAAACCAACTCAGCCGGCAGCACAATCGTCTAAAATGTATTCAGTTCTCTGTGCCACTCAGTTTGGAAGCTAATGGTTCCTCTGCAGTGGTGATGTTCAAACGTTTTGCTACAGGGGCCAACTTAAAAGTACTTGTGATTTTTTTTTTCACCCCCTCACCCCCCAATAAAAAACTGTGATTCAGATTCAAATTTTAATTAATTTCACCTACACTTTAATTGAATAAAGTACTATTTTTTTTTTGTAGAAAGGGGATGTAGAAATCATAGTAGCTCCAAAACAGAAAAATTTTCCCATCATGCAGTTTCCTGATTTTTTGGGGGTTTGAATGTTTTCTGTTTTGTTGATCAGAGCAGCAAGAATTGAGATAGGAGTCCCTCCTCCCTCGAAACGCATGCATGAGTTGGGAGGAGAAACTGCCTCTGTGGCGTCGACCTGACGGAAAAAGTATTCACAGTTTGCGTCCAGGATGTGTGGGGTCTGCAGAGATATTAGCAGCTAGAACCTGCACAAGTCCTGATGTGCAATGGAGCGTGAGGGCTGTACTAAGGAAAGATTTTAAAAATGTATTTACAAGAATAAAGTCATAAAATGATGAAAAGACGTCATTAATATTACAAGAATAAAACCAGAATATCATGACAATAAAGCTGTAATATTAAGAAAGTAAAGTTGAAATAATATGAGAATAAAGTCGCAATAATTTAAGAATGAAGTTATATTTTGAGAATAAAGTTGTGTGAGAATCATTATGACTTTATTCTGGTGATTTTACAACTTTACTATTGTAATTGTATGACTTCATTCTCTTAAGTTTATTATTGTTATTTTCTTTGCGTGGGTCTAACACTGTCGTGCTGATGACCAGCAAGTTTTCCGACATACTGTGCTTATCTAACCTTTTCTGATTTCCCAAATGGAAACAACAAAACAATCCAAGCAGAAAAGTGAAAGGCTGCCCAGCGGTCCTGAGTTTAGCATCTAACATGGCTGCTGCACCTTAAAAACACTGTGGAAAATGAGAGGTAAAATCTATGTATTTATGACTTCTGAATAGCATTAGCTGTTAGCATTAGCTCTCCTTCTTAATGAAACGTGAATGACAGTTTGGTCAGCTACAAGGTTTTTAACCAGGGGTGCACCGATTTATCGTCCAGCCGATTTCTTTCATTTTGGGAAATCGGTAATTGGCCGATTTTTACATATGAAGGCGATCTTATCTAGTTTGGCAAATGTGTAAAAATCAAACACTGTCCTCTTTTACTCTCTGGTGAGAAAGGTTTGGACTGACAGATTGGCCCTCCAAGTCATGTCTGCACGTTCACAATTAATAGTGACCCCACTGTTGCCAACTGGACAACTTTCTTGCTATATTGAGCAACATTTCAAAAAAAAAAAAAAAAAAAAAAAAGGGATCGGCCAAAATTGGAATCGACATATTGAGCTTTTTTAAAAGATCGGTAATCGGCGATCGTGCAGCCCTATTTTTAACCCTTAGCGCGTGTTTATGTGGAGCGTTGTTGAAGTTTAAGGGATTAATAAATGTAGCCCGTGTCGCACGCTCGCAATTACAAATCCTAAAGCTCCTCACAGGTATTTATGAAAACTAATTCTCTATACTTAACATCACTGCTCTAAACAGCTGCCACTTTTTAATTACCGCTAATGCGAGCTCAGAAATTTAAGCAAGTCACCTATCAGGACCACACAGGTGAGTAGTGACAGCTTGCGAGGGTAACACACACACACACAGACACATACATATACATATATATATATATATATATATATATATATATATATATATATATATACACGCACACAGTAGGAGGACTTGCACGTCGTGTGTGTGTCGTGTGTGAGGATTGTTATCACAAAAACACACCACAGCGTGTGATTGCTCAATTGAGGCCGCGTGATAATTAAAATCATTTAGTTCTGGGTAAGCCTCGCATCCGCATAAATCCGCATCAGCACCAGCCGCTTCCCCCGTCGACGCATACGCTCACAAACACTCCCACGTGAACGCAACAACAACACAATTAATTATCACGCAAGGCTGCTCTTATTGCCTCTGTCTGCCCCATAAACGATCATTTATTTCACATTTGCGCTCGGGTGTGTGTTTGCGTTATTGCCTCATAAATGATCGTGGGTGCGCCGCGCGCGTGTGTTTGTGTGTGTGTACGCCACGTGTGAAGCCCGCGTGTGTTTGGAAGACATGGAGATGTCGTTATAATGGTTGCTGCAGGCTGGTCATTTGCTATAATTTAGAATGATGGGAAATATGGGTTAGATAAGCGCACACACACACGCACACACACACACACACAAACCCCCCTCCTTGATCCAGTGGGAGCGGGTCAGATAAACTCTTATCAGTCAGACGAGCAGTGAAGAAGGACCCCCTGCTTTTATTTGTCCCTCCAGCAAATTATTTTGAGCTGGGGAAGAAAAAAAAAAGAAGAAGAAGAAGTCATTTCTGAACGGTTCCCTAAACGTGACTTTGGTTGGTGCAGTGCAGCCTGTGGGCGAGATCATCCCAGCAGACTTTCCCCTCTTCCTCTCCTGCGGGCTGTGGACACACACAACACGTATGTTTATGGGGTGAGACCTCATTCGGATCTTAAGCAGACTCCCGTCCATGCAGGACGTCAAACCTCTTCACCGCTGCCCCCCTCCCCCCTCCGTCGGATGCTGACGAGAGCCGACGTTAACGTGCGTGCGGCCAAATGTCAGCGCGAAAGCAAAAATCTACATATTGCAGCCTGGAGTGCCTTCGGGCTTGACTTTATAATCCCAAAACGGAGCGTTAACGGGGCGCCGATAATGAGGATTAGATTTGGACATGATGCGGAGAGTGTGGGTTATTTAAAGGGGAGTGACAAAATACAGAAAAACCCCGGCAGCAAACTATTGTTTTGTTCTTGTAATGTCTGCTTGGGAATGACTTTCGCAGTGATACACCTTAAAATATGTACTCGTTGTTTTTAATGGGATATTTGCTATAGACCGACACAAAGCCAGTTCATAATTATGGAAGGAAAATGAAACGTGGTTTTGAAAGTATGTGAAGGATGACACTGCAAAAAAAACACAAAATCTTACCAAGTAGTTCTGGTCTGGTTTGTAGAGCAAATATATTAGTACACTTGAATTAAGATAAACTTTTCAGCAAGAAACAGGTGCTTGTTTTAAGTCAACGATTCCTTAATATTGATGAAAAAGTACTGGCTTTAATAGTTTGTCATCAACATTAAGAAATAGTTGACTTACAAGAAACTCCTATATCTGACTGAAAAGCTTATTTTAAGTTAGTTTAGTATTATTTCAAATCTACTAAGATATTTGCACTGGGTAGGATTTTGGGTTTTTGAAGCGTAAATAAAACTCTGTGCAAAAAGAAAAAAAAAGGCTTCATAGGTCACTTAATTAGGCTGCAGTCTGTCCACTGTGATCGTACTGAAGGACTGGGTCTAATTCTTTGTGTTTCCACAGATACATTCTGTTGACCTTTCTGCGTGTTTCTTTCCAAGTTCAGCTCTATTTTAGATGTTTAAGTAAATGTGCGGCTGGAGTTTTTAATTGCCTGAACTATTTGTGATTGCCACTCCAGATAATTAACAACGGATGTTATTACCTGTGGGACCTTCTGGCATCCTGGAGGTGGCTGCCTCTGCAAAGTGTTGGCAGCTACCAGGTCTGAGAAGTATAGGCTGATAGACAAACAGAAACATATACTGAAACCTTAAGCTTAATATGGATTCTCACATAAACATATTCCATAGCAAGTAATATAGTAAGTTCATCTTGAGTAAATAAATGCATAAACGTTTCACTTTATTTCTTGTGCTGTAAATTATTTGAATGGTTTCTATATTTGTTACCCAGTGTGACCTTGATCTAAGGCAGGTTACAGCTTTTATTTTCCCCAGATAAGGGGAGCTAAATGTTGGCTAAAACTATCGAAATATCTAAACCTGTTAAACTACAAATGTGTCTACTTCCAGACCAAGTAATATTGTGAATTTCTAATGTATACACAACATCTCTGTAGCTATGAAACATGCATGCTTCTATGAAAAATTCATGAAACTCTTACTAAACAAGCTTCGACTCAGCCACCTTAGCATAATGCATCCATATTTTAGCTATGGAAGCCATAACAACCGGAGTCAGCGATAGCGGAAAATTGGCCAATCACAGACGACCTATTGTTTCTTTTTCTACACTTTGTTCATTATTAAACTACAGATTGATATTTTGAGATCACAGACAGCTACAGGTGTTAATCCCCCCCACTCCCCTCCCGCCCAAAAACCAGCATCGCTACTGGCCCCTGAATGGTCCGCGCATGGGACGTTCAGTGCAGCTAATGACGTTTTGGCGTAAATTCGACGCCATATTTATGGCAAGAAATTGAAGCTTCCGTCGTGTAGAGTAGGTTATCCAAAGACGAGGAAGAACATACAAGTATACGGAAACGACTGGCTGTGACTCTGAGTGCGTTTCATTTTTATTCTTCCCTGCAGGGCGACGAGGTGATGCCAGCCAAATTCGAGGACGATCTGATCCTGGTGGCAGCAGGACCGCCTCTGTCCGACTCCTCCTTCCTCAGCAGCAAGATCATGGACCTGTGTGAAGACCTGCCCATCTTCTGGCTCCGTCCCACACACTCACCCGGTATGCAAAACAACAAAAAACGAAAAAACATTTCAGATCCGACACAGAAAGGATTTGAACAGCCAAACAGAGTGCTTACACAGAACAAAGATAACATGGGTCAAATGGGTTGAAGTATTTTTCTATTTAACATCGCTGCCGTTTGATCTGAATTGTGTTTTGAAGATTCCCAGAGAGCGTGAATCGAGAATTTTTAGCATGCACTGAGGTCAAAAGCTATATATATATATATATATATATATATATATATATAGCATTTGTTTATCTTCCCACTTCATCTGATGATCTTGAAGTCCGCTGCCCGGGAAGCGGCCGTGCGACATTAGTGCCACTCCGCTCCTAAATTTGGCCCGCTGTCAGATAGTGACACTGTGACGTGTTGCAGGCGGCCAGAGGAAGAGCAGAGCCGCTCCTCGCGAGCGCCGGCAGGCAGCTGTTCCGGTGGAGGACGAGGACGGGGAGGCGCAGTTCAACCCGGAGAACCCCTATCAGGTGAGTCACACGCGCTCCCTCCGCGGTGTTTACATCCGGCCGGAGCGCTCCGAGCTGTCCGTTCGGATACGAGGGGCGCTACCTGAGAAGGCCTTTTCCCCGCGGAGAGTTTCTCACATCTACGGGAGCCGCAGCAGATGCTGGGGTCACGGCGGAGGGGCTCGGCACGTCACTGCACATCTTTTAGTGCATGTATTTTCTCCGCGCGGCTGTCTAAAGCTTTCCTTTTCAGGAATGAGGCTGTATGAATAATTTCATCGCCCTCAACCCCCTGCATTTCTTCTCCGTGGCCCCCGCTGCCCTGTTTAAACAGCCCCCATACTGATACAGAGGTTTTTGAGTATAGCCAAAAATTGTACTCAAGAGTAGTAGTGCTACTTCAACATGTTTTCACTTAAGTAAAAGTACAAAGTACCTGTCCAAGAAAGTACTCAAGAGTAAAAAGGAGTGTTTTGTAAAAAAGCATAATTTGTAGTAACTGATCAAAGCACAAATCGTTATCCTAACCCTAACCTTAACCCAGACGGAGTAAAATATGTTACGTGGAAATTTTGGTATTTTAAAGGGACAATATTATGTGTTTTCTAGTTGCATAGCACCATTTTATAGTGTAATGTTAACTTGAGTTGCCATAAAAATGCTGTAAATATCGAATATGCCTTAGTAATTTAATGCCTTAAGATGGCACAGCTGTCTCTTTAAGAAACTCCTCTTTCTGAAACTCCATCTTCAGGTTAATTGCTCCTCAATTAATCCTTTAACATTTTTACCATTTCACTAGGAAGTAGCTCCTATATTGAGCTCAGATGTGCAGTGCCACCAGGTGTTTGCCAATGTCTGTTGGCTAGTCTTAAGGAGCTGAGTGGGCTTTATGGAGGAACTGAGGAGGAACTTTGTTGTTGAAGGCGGGGCTAGGTCCCCCGCCCCAGGCGTTTTGCACAATTGAATGGGTGTCATGGAGACTAAAGGATTTCTCAAACATGCATGAAAGAATCAAGACAACACTCCAGGTATGTTTTTGATGATGGAACAACATCCAACAGCTAAAAAAAGTAGATTTTATGTAATACTGCCCCGTTTAAAGACCAAAATGAAAATAATTCATGTAAATAACATAATTAAATCAGGCAAAATTATTATTCCAATTCAATTTCTTTCTATGTAAAGCTTATGGGAAACATTAACAAAAACTTCAGGCACGTGTCCGATGGATGTTTGGTTGAAACGTGTTTGTTCTTCATTCAGTAAAGTTACTCACAGTGAGTAGAACATCCAGAAATTTTACTCGAGTGAGAGTAGCGATACTTCAGAGTAATATTACTCAAGTAAAAGTAAGTGAGTAAATGTAGCTAGTTACTACCAACCTCTGCCTACTTACACATCCTTCCTTCCCTTCCAGCCTCCTCTCCTTTCATCACAGCCCTGACAACTGCAGGCAGGATTAAACCGAATACTAACAGGGGGTAAAAAAAAAAAAAAACACACATGTGACCTCCCTGCCTCCCAATCCTGCCAGCTGAAAAATCCATATTTAACAGGGCTGAAATGAGATCTTTTCACTGCTAAACATGCCCACGAGGAAAACGAGCCACTCAAGTCTGACTGCTTCCCCCTCTCTTCCCCTCCCTCCTCTCCCTGCAGCGAGGACTGGAGGGCGAGCAGGGCGCCCCGGACATCGACCCCATGCTGGACCACCAGGGCGTGTGCTGCAATGAGTGTCGCCGCGGCTACACCCACTGTCAGAGGATCTGCGAGCCGCTCGGCGGCCACCAGTCCTGGCCGTACCACTTCCGAAACTGCAGGGTGGCCTGCAGAGTTATCATGCCCTGCAAATGGTGGGTGGCGCGCATCATGGGGCTGGTGTAAGAAAGCCACCAGTACTCGCCCGAGATGCGGCAGAGCCCAGGAGGGAGGGACGGGGTTCAAAGGGAGGTGAGATGAAGGGAAAAGTTATTAAAAAAAAGAAGAAGAAAAGAAGGAGGGGGGGAGTTACTTAATAACATCTACTGTAGGTAGCTAAGTCTAAGCAGATTTGTTCAAAAGCAACTTGCATTAGTAGCTGTGTTTATGAATTCTAGATGCATATAAAGCTGATCTGACATTGAAAGGCAAACGCAGTGGCGGCACATCCTTTCATGCTGTAAAAACACACACACACACACACACACACACACACACACACACACACTGCAGCTACTAATCTGGGGTCTTCTGAGCTAGAGCGCAACATGCTACCTAGAAAACAGAGATGGTGACATTACTTAATGTAGACGCGTAGGAAAAGCTTGCATTAATAGAGCCTGTGATTTACGTTGCCTAAAATTCTGTACATAAATATCTACAAAGGACTCCAGAAGAAGTCGGTGGATTTGCAGAACCGTACATCCGGAGGTTTCCGATGTTGAATAAGAGAAACTTAGATGCATTTTATTAGGATTTTATGATTTTATGTGATAACTCAGCATGAACAGGGTACATGGGCAGAGTTGGAGGGAAAGGTTAAATACAGGATGGTGGAAGAAAACCTGTCTTTGGGCAGACCGCCCCTTTCTAAAGCCGCCCTGCGTCACTGCCCATATGAAATCCTTCCACTGGAAGCCAGAGCTGCATATGGAAGGATTTGCTTTAGAAATCTAAAACAAGCTGAAGTTCAATCGGTTTTAATCACAAACAATAAAAACAGAGGTGATATTTGATTGGCTATATCCTTCCAGGTGGCTCTGATATAGCAATAAAAGATTAAAAGGGATCAACCTTTTCTACATCTTGGTGACCAAAATGCTAACAATCAGGAAGAGAAGTCATTTATGGCTCCATCGTAATCAAAGCAGTCATTACAATGTCACAGTTTCTCACTATTGGTCAGATTCACAGATGCACTTTCAAGCCAGAACGCCCAACGTCCAGAGATAAAGCAAATAGATGTAAAAATATGAGATGTCTGTAGTATCCCCACAGCATGACGCTTCCACCACCATGTCAGGTAAATTGAAGGTGACTGATTGTACTTGTAATAGGGTGTTTCAGAGTAAAGACACATCACACTTTTAAGATTGTTAAAAAAAAAAAAACATGTTTCACTTTACAGCCGGGCGCCTTTTTGTTGAATGAAAACCCAAATAAAATCCATTGGAAGAGGCTCCGGGGGTGTGAATACTTATGCCTGTTGACATTTCAGATAATATTAGCTTCAGCTCTTTTCACAAGTTACCTTTAACAAAACAATGTGCTTTTTTCCCTCCAAATTTCCATCTAAATGTAGCTGTACCTCCACTCCAAACTTTTCAAAGTGCAATATCATGAAATAAAACTTTTTTGCTTGTTTTTTTAAGTAAACTTCTAGGTTTCAAGCGTCTTTATTCTGTTATAGATCAAAAGAATATATGTTATCTGATCACACGTCTTGCATGTATCGCCGGTTTCCTTCAGTGTTCTCTGAGAAGCGTCTCATCTGGTCCCTGCTCCAAAGGCCCCAGCAGAAAGTTTTTCCAGAGTTCTTTAATGTGAGAGTCGAAGATCTAGAACTCTTTAATGAGACTAAAGACTCTGCAGCCCGTCACGCTCCCAGATCTTACCCACGATGCAAAGCGCTTAGCTCCTTTTGATGTCGCAGAGCCGCCTCGGGCAGGGGTAGGGGGTAAGGATGGGGGCGGTGTGTGTTTTTTTGTGTGTGTGAAGGATACTAGAGGAGTGTGTGTGCGAGTGCGTGAGTGAGAGAGAGAGAAAAGTAAAGTGTCACGGAGCGAAGAGTTCCATCCAGAGTCACAAATGGCTGTTTGATCATCAGGAGAGATGAAACGATGTGTGATGAATTTAACACTTAACTCAGTGTGAGAGGCTTGATGATGTGGTTAGGGAGGCTGATCCATATTAATGCTCTCCTGGCTTGGTAGGACGCCCCCCCTCACAGCTGCTGCATACCGGGTCTCTGCCCGTTTCACCAACTCACATTGAAGACCTTTTTAAGAGCATTGTGAATAAAATTTAATACCTGTATTTCCACAGAAATATCCAAACTTCATTTATATAACTGGCAATAAATTTGAACTTACCCATGATGGACACAAAAGGTAGCTAGCTAGCTAGCAAGGGAGTATTAGCAGCTAGCTAGCAGCAGCCTCAACCGTTTCAAATCACAGAACACAATGAAGATGTCTGACTCAAACCTGCAACAAAAAAATTACATGGAATATACAACAGTATATACCAATACCGATACTTTTTATGTTTGATATCAAACATCTGACTTTCTGGTGGTTTTCTGGTTTGACACAATTTGGATTAAAGTGTCTATGAAATACTTGAATAATATTAACTTGATTTGTGTGCATTTTTCCTAAATAAAGTGCAAAAAAAAAGATAATTCCAGCAAATCACTACAGAATCTTTCAGGTAGAACAGTTTAGAAACTGCAATGCAAAAATAAAACTAAATTTGAAGAGGGAAACTGGAACAAAAGCATTGATCTCACCACTCAAATATCGAGCAGATAAGGTCTTGGTATCGATATTTTGTATCGATTTGGTGGCCTCTAATATACAAGATGAAACAGTCCTGTCCAGACAAAATTTAAGAGCTGCAATCAACATGCTAAAGGCCAACTTAATTTTTTTAATCAATTTAAGACTTCTTAAAAAAAATACACCGACACCCTGTGCATTTACAGCACGAAAGCTTCCCTCGTCTTCGGCTGCATCCTCGTCCTTGGACAAACAACCTGAGGTGAGGGGGAGCTTCTTCCGTCTCGATACCGATCACGCTGCAGTAAGTAAACCCTGTCCTCAAGGCGTCAGCCGTATCTCAACCGCCTGCTCTCGTATCAGTGAGACCACATTTCACCGCTGCCGGCGTATAATCGCAGCACGCGGCTCCCCCTCCCCGTCCCAATACGTTGCCATCTTCGAGTCTGAGTGATGCGTTCAGGGACTTCCCGTCCGGTTCGCAACAGACTCCAGACAGTAACAACACAGTACACAGATTTACAGCCCAAACAAGAAATCTTTTTTATTTACAATGAGGCTTGAGTCACACTGATGGAACGCCATGTGCTGAGCCATTGGCCGACGAGTCAAGAAACAGAGCACTGGTGCAGACTCTTCACAGGAAGAAAAAAATAATAATTCACTTGTAGTTCTTATCCTAAGCAATTGTACATTTTTTTTACACTCTGCTGAAGACGGCAAATTGTGAAAAGGCTTCCAAACAGAAAGGCTGTGGCTGTTTAGAGAAAACTCATCTGAAGGCTGAATAGCTGCATTTCAGGTCTACCGATTCCCTTTTTAAGTCCATCGGCCTCTTAAAATAAAATAAAAAAAACCAGATCATTCACATTTCAAACCCAATCAGTTGATAAGCTTGTTTTCGGTGGAGAGATAATGGGAATGCAGCNCATGTGACCTCCCTGCCTCCCAATCCTGCCAGCTGAAAAATCCATATTTAACAGGGCTGAAATGAGATCTTTTCACTGCTAAACATGCCCACGAGGAAAACGAGCCACTCAAGTCTGACTGCTTCCCCCTCTCTTCCCCTCCCTCCTCTCCCTGCAGCGAGGACTGGAGGGCGAGCAGGGCGCCCCGGACATCGACCCCATGCTGGACCACCAGGGCGTGTGCTGCAATGAGTGTCGCCGCGGCTACACCCACTGTCAGAGGATCTGCGAGCCGCTCGGCGGCCACCAGTCCTGGCCGTACCACTTCCGAAACTGCAGGGTGGCCTGCAGAGTTATCATGCCCTGCAAATGGTGGGTGGCGCGCATCATGGGGCTGGTGTAAGAAAGCCACCAGTACTCGCCCGAGATGCGGCAGAGCCCAGGAGGGAGGGACGGGGTTCAAAGGGAGGTGAGATGAAGGGAAAAGTTATTAAAAAAAAGAAGAAGAAAAGAAGGAGGGGGGGAGTTACTTAATAACATCTACTGTAGGTAGCTAAGTCTAAGCAGATTTGTTCAAAAGCAACTTGCATTAGTAGCTGTGTTTATGAATTCTAGATGCATATAAAGCTGATCTGACATTGAAAGGCAAACGCAGTGGCGGCACATCCTTTCATGCTGTAAAAACACACACACACACACACACACACACACACACACACACACACTGCAGCTACTAATCTGGGGTCTTCTGAGCTAGAGCGCAACATGCTACCTAGAAAACAGAGATGGTGACATTACTTAATGTAGACGCGTAGGAAAAGCTTGCATTAATAGAGCCTGTGATTTACGTTGCCTAAAATTCTGTACATAAATATCTACAAAGGACTCCAGAAGAAGTCGGTGGATTTGCAGAACCGTACATCCGGAGGTTTCCGATGTTGAATAAGAGAAACTTAGATGCATTTTATTAGGATTTTATGATTTTATGTGATAACTCAGCATGAACAGGGTACATGGGCAGAGTTGGAGGGAAAGGTTAAATACAGGATGGTGGAAGAAAACCTGTCTTTGGGCAGACCGCCCCTTTCTAAAGCCGCCCTGCGTCACTGCCCATATGAAATCCTTCCACTGGAAGCCAGAGCTGCATATGGAAGGATTTGCTTTAGAAATCTAAAACAAGCTGAAGTTCAATCGGTTTTAATCACAAACAATAAAAACAGAGGTGATATTTGATTGGCTATATCCTTCCAGGTGGCTCTGATATAGCAATAAAAGATTAAAAGGGATCAACCTTTTCTACATCTTGGTGACCAAAATGCTAACAATCAGGAAGAGAAGTCATTTATGGCTCCATCGTAATCAAAGCAGTCATTACAATGTCACAGTTTCTCACTATTGGTCAGATTCACAGATGCACTTTCAAGCCAGAACGCCCAACGTCCAGAGATAAAGCAAATAGATGTAAAAATATGAGATGTCTGTAGTATCCCCACAGCATGACGCTTCCACCACCATGTCAGGTAAATTGAAGGTGACTGATTGTACTTGTAATAGGGTGTTTCAGAGTAAAGACACATCACACTTTTAAGATTGTTAAAAAAAAAAAAACATGTTTCACTTTACAGCCGTGCGCCTTTTTGTTGAATGAAAACCCAAATAAAATCCATTGGAAGAGGCTCCGGGGGTGTGAATACTTATGCCTGTTGACATTTCAGATAATATTAGCTTCAGCTCTTTTCACAAGTTACCTTTAACAAAACAATGTGCTTTTTTCCCTCCAAATTTCCATCTAAATGTAGCTGTACCTCCACTCCAAACTTTTCAAAGTGCAATATCATGAAATAAAACTTTTTTGCTTGTTTTTTTAAGTAAACTTCTAGGTTTCAAGCGTCTTTATTCTGTTATAGATCAAAAGAATATATGTTATCTGATCACACGTCTTGCATGTATCGCCGGTTTCCTTCAGTGTTCTCTGAGAAGCGTCTCATCTGGTCCCTGCTCCAAAGGCCCCAGCAGAAAGTTTTTCCAGAGTTCTTTAATGTGAGAGTCGAAGATCTAGAACTCTTTAATGAGACTAAAGACTCTGCAGCCCGTCACGCTCCCAGATCTTACCCACGATGCAAAGCGCTTAGCTCCTTTTGATGTCGCAGAGCCGCCTCGGGCAGGGGTAGGGGGTAAGGATGGGGGCGGTGTGTGTTTTTTTGTGTGTGTGAAGGATACTAGAGGAGTGTGTGTGCGAGTGCGTGAGTGAGAGAGAGAGAAAAGTAAAGTGTCACGGAGCGAAGAGTTCCATCCAGAGTCACAAATGGCTGTTTGATCATCAGGAGAGATGAAACGATGTGTGATGAATTTAACACTTAACTCAGTGTGAGAGGCTTGATGATGTGGTTAGGGAGGCTGATCCATATTAATGCTCTCCTGGCTTGGTAGGACGCCCCCCCTCACAGCTGCTGCATACCGGGTCTCTGCCCGTTTCACCAACTCACATTGAAGACCTTTTTAAGAGCATTGTGAATAAAATTTAATACCTGT